TTTAACCATCGTGGCCCATATGTGCTGAAATACCCAGACATATTGGGGTTGTGTTTAAAGGAACAGTCCCAGCTTTCACGCTGAAAGCCGGCGCTTTTCCAAGGCGAGCGTGAAGTTTTTTACCTTGGGCCTTTGCAAAAAGGTGGGGTGTGGTTTTAGCAAAATCTCAAAACCACATAATATTTAAAGCTAGCGGGCCAGAAGTAAGGTTTTCAAATACTTAATATCTGACAAAAAATATTTCCTCCATGTCCCTAGCTAAGGCCAAAGTAGGGGGAGCAACTGGAGAAAGCATCTCATTATTTTATCAGCCTGTGTGCAAAGCAGCATCTTCACTACACGGTGACTTAGGGAGGCTGAAGCACAGCGTGGACTGGAGATGAGAGCTTGCCTTGGACTGACATGGACAACTTCCCTGGATCTCCATGCCTTTAAACCCAGAGCCCAAGTTTGGGTTAGGAAGATGGCTTCCTTGTCAGCCCTTTCTCCAAGGAAGTTAACATAAAAGCTGCAGCTACACTTGATTAATTCCAGGCATTTGGTAACTGGAGACAAATCTCAGCAGTGCAAAGGGAACTTACACTCCCTCCCAAACGTGTGAAACAAGCCACCACTTCAGTGCACACTGTGTTTTTCGTGTAACAAACTACATTTCCTTTGTGTAAGGTGTAGTGTTAGACACAGGTACAAAAGAAGCACGAATGATAATGCAATAATCACCTGACACAGCCTGGAAAACCCCAACACAAGATGAACTGGGAATGAACAGAAAAGCACAAGGTGTGCAGGAAAGCTGTATTTCCAGGTGTAAATACTAAACACAGCAGTCTAAGAAGGTAAAAGAGTGGACAGCAGCTCCCTCAGAGGAAAAGCAGCAGCATTTTGGACTGAAAAAAGAAGGGGAGCAGGTGCCCAGGCTGGGTGCTGTGCCAGGCTGCCATTCCTGAGGCAGCTCCCTGGCTCTGCTCCCTGTCCCACAGGGAAGCTCTCCAGCAGACCCCATGCAGCTTTTCCTCCTCAGGTGGTGTTCCTGTATGCTCAGGGAGCCTCCTCAGGCACCTGAGAGAGTCCTGTGACAACACTAAACAGCTGTTTATTTGGGAAAAGGTTCAATTTAATGAGTCAGGGCTATGATACAGCACTTAGGGGACATGGAAAGCAAACAACCATCCTCCCTGACAGACAGCAGCCACAACCCAGCCACACTCTCCCACTTTTAGGACACGCTCTTTTGTCTCCATAGGTAGCATTTCAAGGGCTAAGCACAGGGTAGGTAACACAGGCTGTGCCAGGGCAGGAGCTCAGCCTAAGTTCTCACTAGACAGAACGTGTCATTCCATCCTTATGGATACTTTTTCCAGATAGAGCTGGAATGGCTGTTTTCAGAGATCAGTGCCACCTTCTCTGTATTAGTGTACAGTGGGGCAGATGAAGCACAGTGAGGTTGAAGGGACTTGCCTGACATCACCCTGCACATGACAGAACCAAAATGATCCTGACTTTGCTGTCCCCTTAGCCTGGCAAGGATCCCTGAGGATTATATCTCTCCTCTGGACACCTAACAGGGCACAACATTGCTGCAGAATAACAGACTGCAAAGGAAGTCACCAATCTTCGTATTACAGAAGAGCTGTGTGCATGGATGCTTTCTAGTACCCCCTCAGGAGATCTCTCTCTCAAAATTGCACTTGAAGACTTCCACTAAAAGTGCTGTCTATGGGTGGCACACCATGTACCAGTCACTCTGGAATGGCACCTGTCCCTTACAACACCACCGAGGGGAGGACCAACAAATAGTTGCTCCAAGGAGCTCAGTCTTCTGAGCAGGCCCGTTTTGTGCAATGTCTGCAAAGAAACAAGGACATCCAAGGCTCAGCCTAAGGTTCCTCAGGTCAGGATTGTCCTGCTAAAAGACAAAATAGGAATTTTCTTCAACTCCTGCAGCTTTCAAGTATTTGCTCATGTCTTCATTGAATGCAGAGGAGCCACAAATTAATACAAACGGCCTTCTTCGACAGGAATTTACTATTGTCTTCATCAAGTCTTCACTGAGACGACCAGTGTACGTGTTTTCCTGATAGCTCCAAGGGAGTTTTTCCAGCGAAGTTTCCTGGAAAGGTAAAAGGTTTGCTGTGTGTGACATTAAAAGGACAACATTGCTTAGAGCTGAATCTCCCTCTTCCCCTCAGAGTAATTCACAGGACGATCTTCACCTTTGTGACACCATGTGGGTGACGCTGACCCTTCCTGAGAGCTGCATTCCTCTTCCTAAGCCCAGATGAAATCTTTCCTTGCCACAGGACCTGGCCACTCACTCAGAGGGGACTGAACAAAACCAGGGTGTAACTATCACTAATAAATGCTGCAGAACCTCCTCCATCAAGATCCATCTCCCAGGGCACCTTTCCTATTCCCAAGTCTCAAGTCTATTCCTCTCCATTGCCTCTCCCATTCCCAAGCCTCTTTCAGTCCCATCTCCCTTGACCAAAAGCAAAAGAAGCCAGCTCTGCTCCAAATACAGCTCTGATCCCATGAGAAGTGTCAGATCCTGTGGCGCTGGATCCAGCAGGGATTCCCCTGCTGCAATTAATCAGGAGCAGAAGGTGCTCAGATGTGGTGGTGACAGGCAGCACAATGAAATACAGACAGATACATAATCCCAAGAGGGAGGATGCACGAGCCAGCCTTGGACTACCACAAACCAGCTAAGAGAGGAGGAAAAAGGGAGAGAGGAGGGGCAGACAGTGTTGACAGGGGTCAGGTGGGTTTAGTGCCTTTCACTGATTGAATTTCAAGACCTCCTCATGCTGTTGAGACAGCAGAGTTTAAACACCCTGGAAAGGGTATTTAAGCCATGTCACCAGAGATAATTATGGTTATGCTCCTACAGAGCAGCTGGGGGTGGGGGGGGGGGCCAAGTCACCAGCACTTTTCCCTCTACCAAATCTCATCTTGCTGAGGCCACATGTGGAACAGAATGTGTGAGGCAGTTCCACTGTGAGAGATACAAGAAATGATTCATCTGAGAAACTAAAAATGCAGTGGGATTCATTCCCTTAGCATAAATAATTCTTTCTATATCCTCCCAGCAATGAATTCTCATTTCTGATGGAAATAATTTTTAACCACCAAATCCATGCAGAACACAGGCAACTTTGGGACCAAATGGAAATGAAAAAGACTGCTCAAAATGTAAGACCATTGAGATGTATAGCCTCATCCCATGATTGTGGCAGAAAAGTAATTTTACAGAGGGGGAAAAACTTTTAGAAGTTTAAAAATGGGTCAGCAAGGAAAAATAATTGCTGGGAAGTTGGTGCTAGCACACCAGAGGAGAGCTCTAGCCATGAGCAAAGAATGGAAGATAAGGACAGATTAGGGCACTGGTATTAGGAAGAAAAAAATCAGCTTAGGTACAGCAACAACTGTCTGAAATGGGGGGCAATAACCAACAGTGACTATGGAACAGCAGGTCCATCCCAAGAGAACAGGGAGGCAGAGGGGAACAGTGATGGTCACTTCCAGATGCCCATCAATTCTCCAGACTAGCAGCAGTGTGAGTACATGCAGCAGATTTAAGAACAGCAGTTACTGGATGACAAATTAGGCAGGATGACTGGGAAAGAATTAAGATCATGCTTATGGAAAAGTGGAGGAGGCAGAGGCTCATCCAGCACACAGAACCCTCACAGAAACACACTTCATTTATTTACCTGGCTTAGGACATAAAATATTCTAATATTCCAGTACTGAGCCAAATCCTTCAGAAGAGGTTTTAAATAAATTTTGTCAAAGGTAGGGAAGCAGCCAACAAGAGTTACAAAGGTTTCATCCTCTTCATCATCTGTTATGGACTGAAGGATAGGAATCATTGGTGCAAGGCCAGTGCCAGAGGCCAGCATGAGGAGTTCTCCATGCTAACAACAAAACAGAGAATTTGGAATGAGCTGTAGTGGCTGGAAATGGGTGTGCTCATAGTCAGTTCCTCTTGCTGCCACCCTGGTAAAGGGTCTCTTGAGAAACAACATACCAGAAGGTCATGAACTGGTAAATTCAGATCCCAAAATGTATTTTTCTGCAAAGGATTACAGATAGCACTTAAAGGGTTTACATATCAAATCCAACAAAACTGGATTTTACCCAAATATAATAATTTACCCTAACTTTAGCCTCAATTTCAATTAATTCATGTTTCAGTTTCAATCCTGCAGTACGCTTTGCTGACCCACTGTATTTTCTTCCACTGAAAATGCTCCCTGGGTTTCTCTTGGTTGCTGCAAAGTAAAATCCTGAACGTCCTCTGGAAGAAACGAGTGTGTCAGGAAGCAGGACACAATTGCTCTGCATAGAACTTGGCCACCCAGATTTTAGTTAGTTTTGTTGTGGGAGAAAACGTTTAAAAACAACTTCACCAAAAACCCCAAAAGGCTTCGGGATCTTAATGACCAGTGTTTCAAATTTGCTCCTCATTGGAAAGGTCAGAATTAAGTAACTGAATTAGTGTACGTGAGAAGCCTCCCCATGAAACCAGATCTGCCTTTCCCTGCAGCCAGCCTGGTATTGGCAGGTGGGATCAGCGTTTGGGGAGCGACCTGACACCTCAACAGCTCAGGGAATACCCAAGAGAGGAGAAGATTAACACATCCTCTTTGCCTCTATTCAGTCACAACACAGAGGTGTGGGTCAAATCAGACAAAAACCCATCCACACTCATTGCTGGTGCAAAGAAAGTTCCCTTTGCAGGAACTCCTAATGCAAGTGATGAACACAGAGCCTTGCTAATATTTTCCTGTCTCCCATCCACCTCCTCCTCCCTCTTAAATATTCTGCAGTTCAAGAAGGTGCTCCAACTGCCTGCTAATGCTGTCACACCGTACAGTAACCCAGGAAGTCTCTAAAATAGTCATGAAAACAGTAATCAAATTGATGCCTTCCCTTCAGAGCACTGAACAAAGCTTGCTGCCACAGGCTGAAGCATCCTATAGCTCTTAGGAACTAACCTTATTAGGTTGGTATGGGAACCCTCCAAACGGTCCACGCCAAAAGACCACGTCTCCTCTTTTCCATGTTTTTATGTATTTTGACATTAGCCCAGCTTCATAGCACTAATAAAAAAAATTGCACAAAAGAAAAGAATAATTATACTTCATTGGAAAGTTTCCCAGCTTAAAGTCAATTATAAAGTTATCTACATTTAAATGAAAAGGGGACAAAGAAACATTTCGTGTATTTAAAAAAGAAAGAAAGATCTTTCTGTTTGAAAAATAACTCAAAGTTATACCCAAAACAAAGACATTTAAATTAAATCATATTGGAACCACTCCAGCTTGACTATAATGTAAACACAAACCCCCTCTCACGCAGCCTGAATTTCCAAAACTGGAAAAAGCTTATCAGAGTTCTTGCTTACAAAGCACACAGAGAAGAGTGTCTTGAATGCAAAGCACAGTGCAGGCCTTCAAGTGTTCTCCAGATCTAGGGGTATAGGGTCTGGAAATACCCTCTGGGTACTGTTAGTTATATAAACACCACATAGCTCTTGCTTTGTTTCAGTCTCTCAGATGCTTCGCTGATACAATTAGTGACCCAAAGCCAGGTTTCTTCTTTGTAAAAGTCTTTGTTTTCAGAACAGATCATCTGGATGCTGAGGGATGCCTCCACAGTTCCAAAAGAGTATGTTAATGTTGGCCCCATGGAAGAAAAACACGAGCAAAAAACCTGCCTCACTTTCTGGTAGGCACAAACAACATTTTCCAGGCTGTTGTCTGCAGGAATGCTGATCTCACTCATGAGTGAGGAGAAGGGCTCGGTGCTCGCTGGAAACAGAGAAGGGACAAGAGGCTGGAAAATGAAGGCCTTGTCCAACCAGTCATGTTACCATCCATGCCCTAAATGTGTGACCACTGAATGTTTTAAGAGAAAAAACGTGAGCAAAAGAGTGGCCACGGTCTGGGATGTGTCTGGAGAACCAGGACTGGCCCAAGCAGCCAGAGCTGAAAAACCCAAAGCTGCAGCACACAATGGGTCTCACAAGGATAAGCCTGGGGAAGAGCAACACAACCAGGGGTCAGAAGATGGGATGTGATACAAGCCTTTGGCCACTCCAGCCCACACAAAAGAAGTGTGTTTGGGGGTATTTCATACACAGGCATTGGAGAGGAGTCTGGCTCCACACCCCAGTGCCTTGGCTGGCCACCAAGCTGCACTGCAGGCAAACAAAATTGGTGAACCACAAAGCAGCTCAGAAAAAGCAAGTGAGGGAGCCTGTGCTTGTAAGCAGTGTTAGCTAAGAAAGAACACAGATGCTCCTCCCCTCCCAGCCTCTCACTTAAACATGAAATATTAAGAAGTATTAGCACCATTTGTTACATTCAAAAGGTAAATCACACATGTAACCAGGCTCTGAGTTATTGTCAGAATTCTTTTATGTTCAGAGGGCTCTGGGCAGGTGCTAAGTCTCATGCAAAGAAGGTGCACTTGCTTCAGAGAAGTAAATTTTATACCTCCCTTCTTCAAATACATCCAGAAACCCAAGGCAAGAACAGAAAAGTCCACTTTCTGCCCATTCCCAAAGAACTGGGGTAATGGAAACTAAAACAATCCTTCTTTCACCAAAATTGTTTCCAAAAAATTGAAGTGAAAAGTGATTGAGTGGGTTTCAAATGAATTTTTCTAAATAAAAAGGAAAAAAAAATTATCTCCTGGGGGAAAACTTCCACACCCCATTTTACATGGAGATAAACCCTAACATTATAAAATCACTCAAAAAGAGGGTTATGCTCTGTAAATGGCAACTCCCTCACTCTTAACTGTAGTATCACAAATGCAATGCTGTAATAACAGGAGACAGAAGGGTTTGAACAGTGCTTGGATTGCATAGTAATAATAATATACTACTTTCCAAAATTGCCTCAATAGTGTGAAATATACCACAACCTACAGAGTGAGTTATAAAAATGGCTGCTTTACACTGGGTGTTACCAGCCTCTTTTGTCACTGCCAGAGAATAACTATAGCTCCTTTTGGGATGAAAGGTTCTATATAAAGCAAAGGTATCATTACAATCATTACTATTATTATTGAAATGCAAAAACTGTGAGTAATGAGCCGCTATACATGAAATTTCACCGTCATCCTGTGAATGTATCCTATTAATGCAACATTTCTCTCCCCTACCACACACCAATTGCCACAAGAATGGGGAAATGACCCTCCCACAGGTGTCCTAGAGAAGCTGTTCACTTTTCTAAAGAGCAGGGTTTGTGTTCGAACATACAATGCATAATAAACCCCAGAAACATGAAATCCTGGAAGACAGGCAGAGGACAAGTGGCCCTTCTCTGCAGGCCACCTGAGATAGCCAGCACTCTGAATTTCACACCTGTACTGAAGTCGGTGTCTGCCCCGAGGAGTCCCTACTGACATACAGATGCAGTACTGGAAAAATGTTCAAGTCAGTATTTGCCACACAAAATAATAATTTATGAGCACCCTGAAGACTTACATGAGACAAATTTCCAGCCAAATCTCCTATAAAATCCTTTTGAATTCAACCAGCATTTTGTGATTGACTCCATAAAGGTGAGGACACTTGTTCAAAATGGGCTCTGCCACCATGTCCACCTCAACAGATGCAGCCTATGTCTATGGGACATCTCTTTGCCCTGTGGGCCACAAAGTCCCTCTGGGCTGACAAATGGCTGTGATTTCAAAGACAGCCTGAAAAAGTAAAATGAAAGGAGAGAAGTGGAATGGACACATCTTTCCACCTAAGAGGCTCTCCCAAGTGATCCCAGGGCTTCTGCTGCAAAGCACTTGTTTGTGTGTGAACTGCTTTCAGTGTTGTGGGAAAAACTGCAGTTTTTACCAGCAAAGCACAAATGCTTTAAAACAACAGAGAAACAGTCCATGAGGGATTTGAGAGTCTTACTTGAAGCATTGACAGCATGCTTGGTTCCTAAAGAAAACACCTTATACTGTAATCCATATTGTCCAGGCTTACTTACTTTAATTAGAACTTCAAAGTAACCTTCTGCATTCCTGGGGCTAATTGGAGTATAGGCTCTCTGGACCTCCAAACCATTCACCACTCCTCTGAGAAGAGAAACAGGAAACCCCTGTGACTTCGGTCATTTGGGGGGCTCCTGCAGCTCTCTGGGACACAGGTCCTCTTCCCAGTGGCCCAGCCTGTGCACAGATGCAAAACATTTCCCTTCCAGAGGCAAAAATCCAGGGGAAACATGGCTAACAGCACCTTTTGTTTTCCCAGTGGTGGCCTCAGCTGTACCACATCCAGCTCCTGGACACACCCCTGAAAGGGATTTAAAAGAACATGCAAGAGTTCTTGAAAGAAACAAGGCAAAGGGGAGAGAAAACACTTTGCTGTTTTCTTTTTTGAGAAGTTTGCTGTTCCTTTTGAGCTGAGGTCACTTTCTGCATCCAGTCAGCATCTGGTAATCAAATAACAAAAGCCAAGGCACAGCCTTGACCTTGGGCCTTGTCAATATAGAATGTATCTTCCTGTAAGTCTTCCCTTTCCATGGAATTATCCACCCTGCTCTTTGCTACTGACCACAGGAATTGATTGAAGTGACCAAACCTTTTTCTGTGCTGTGTGATGAGCCAGGGCTGGAGGGAGGAGCGTGTGCTGTCAGCAGAACCAGCTGCACACACCAGCCCTGACTGTACCAGGGACGTCGACAGATGCACATCAATGGCATCCTAACAGGACTTTCTCTGTGTGGCAATGATCACCACAGATGGCTGAGAGACAGAAACTTTCCCCAAGTGGCCCCTTTCTGGCAAGCAGCAAACTACATAGGAGGGCTGTTTTGCTGGAAATCAGTCAGGCAGTGACTGGGTACTGGGGTGCTGAGTTACCCCAAGATACAGGGCCTAAAACACTGAGCTCTGGGGCAAGTGCAGCTCATTGTCTTTGTTTCAACACACTGGAGTAAATAATCTGTTGTAACATCTATTCTTTTAAATCTTTCTTTCTGCAAATGTATTTTCTTAATCACACCTAGCTCTTTCTGTGCCACCAACGCAGGGATAATGCTGAAGAAAACTACAGCTTTTACCATAGAATTAGTAGAGGCAGCGAGCTCACAAGCTCTTTCATCTGTGTCATTGTAGAGGTACAGAAATCATGATTTGCCTGCTATGAAGCCTTTGTCTATTGACAAAACCCTACATGTTAGGTTACATAATGCAGACTGTTTAACTAGCACAGAGAACAATACCTTAACACGATATGTTGTCCTAAACTCAATCGCAGGCTGCTATTTCCCGGTAATTCAAATTTGTACTGGTAGGTGTCCTCTGTCAGCTGTTCCACTGAGCTCACGCTGAATGCAGTGAATGTATCTGGATTCAGCTCTGAATTATTGCTCTGCAAGAACAACAATAAATAATTACTTGGTTAGATGGTGTCTTTTATTATTTCATTTTTCTCTGGCAGCAAATGTGCGTGCTAATTTAGTGCCAGAGACACTCAGGACATGTATTAAACACCGAGGCCCGGCGCAAATTTCAGCTCTCTGCTGATTCATTATCATGTTCTGCAGCATGCACTTTGGGATCTTGCATTTCTCCCCACCACCACCTTTTTAAATTACATTTTTTTACACCTTACAGCAAGGTCATCCTATTATGACTCACTGCAATCATTTTCTCATGTCTGGAAACAAACAGAAATAATTCTACTAAAAGAGCCAAGTGCTGCTTTGGGGGTAACTTTGCAACCTGCTGATGGCTACAGTGAACAGAAAATATTGTCAGTTGTTTCAGCTGATCTTTTTTGCTTGACCCAGCATAGTTAATCTTATGTAAAAGGGTACTGAAAGGCTTAAAAATTACACTCTAAAGGCAACTGCTCCACTACACACAACACAGCTTTTTCTCAGCATCAAAATCTGAGTCTAAAAATCAGGCAAAGATGAAAAGGTGGGGAAAACAAAGCTTCTCCGAGGAAACTCAGAGAGGAGAAGCTGCAGAGCCAAGCTGTAATGCGACACCAGGGAGAACTCTACACTTGGAAAATCACATTACAGCAGGGAGAGAGCGGCCAAGGGGGAGGGTGAAAGCAGAGTTTGGGGAATTGCATTTACAGCCCTCTCCTAAAACACCACTTTAATTTATCCCAGCATCCCTCACCCATCACTACAACCCCAGACCCGAACAAGTACGATCAAAGCACAGGCTCCAGGATGCGATGAAGGTAAATCGACCTGCTCCTTCTTTCCCAGGAGAAGGCTTTTGTCTTGCATTGCTTTGGCTCTCTCCCACTGTGCAAGCTCCTTCTCGTACACATCGTAGATGCAGGGCTTGCAGCCGCTGCCGCAGCACTGGGATGGAGAAGGTTCCTGAGGCCTCAGAGCCAGCCAGTCCTGCTCGTTGTCACTCATTGCCTGCAAAACACAAGCCCTGCATCAAACCCAGCACGACGGAGAGCAGCGTGTGCTCATCAGCTGGGTGTTTTCGGAGGACTGAGAAAATCTCTCTCGAGCATCTTGCACGTGTGTCAAATGGAAAACCTGGAGCTAATGTGTAACACCCCATTTTTGCTCAAGTGCTCAATGTTTCTGCACAAACGCCAGACCTCAGAGCCAGCAGCCCAGAGCAGAGCCTCAGCCCGGTCTCAGGCCCTCCTCCCCAGACAGGCTGCCCAGCCAAAGCTACACCCTTTAATCCTGCTCGTTCCGCCGTGGTGATTTCCTACAAAAGAGCAGCTTGGTCACCCGGAGCAGAAACATCTTAAAAATCTGCTGCTCGGTGCCAGAGAAAGGGTGACAAATCCAACCAGCAGGACAATGGGCAGCAAACCCAGCCACCAGCTGTGGCCCGAGTTTTGTGCAGCTTTGGAGCGGGGGAGGGCAGTGAGCTGAAAACAGCGCTCAGAGCCAAGAGACTGGAGGCAAAGAGGGCAAAGTCTCAGGCAAACAACCACTTTGGTTATGGGCTTTGAATATACGGCATTAAACTCAAGAACCACAGGACTTCATCCCTCACTCCCGTTGCTTCCCAATGAGCTGTACCCACTGAACACTCCTCAGGTCAAACCATGCTGCAGGCCTCGGCGGACCCCGCTGTTTTCACACACGGGCTGAGTTACGGCTGATCACAACGCTCCTGTGTCCACATCCCCCGCACACAAAGCGGTCCACAGGAAATTATGAAGCCACGGGTGACGAAGCGGAGGAAGCGAACATTTAGCGCTTCCAGCCGCTTCATTGTCAAGGTCAATTAATTAACTAACCTTCACCCCTGTAACAGAAACACACTTATTTTAAGGAGGCGGGCGGGGAACGGAAGAGAGAACCAAAGGCGACTGGCCCGGCTTCCCACCGCGCCCGCTTTGTCCGGGGGCCCGCAGCACCCACGGGCTATGAACGGGGGGTAACCCGACGTTGCCGCGGGCGAGTCCGAGACGCCCGGGCTCGGGGCTGCGCAGATTCACAGAGTTTCGAGCACTTACTGCGTGCGCCCGGGAGCTCGGACACACCGGCCCGGGGCACAGCGGCCCCGGCCCCGGCACACGAGCTCCGGCTCCCGCCCAGGGATGGTCTCTCAAGTGCCCTCCCCTTGCCCCACAGGCGAAGAGGCGCCTCCCCGTTCACCAACCCAACGCCTTCCCCTCACCCGCCAGGCAATTTACCGACCCTCCCTTACCGCGGGGCGCGCCTGCCCG